GACAAACGGACAGCGGCTATATGCTCTCCCTTCTGGGAGCATAAAATGTACTTTCATTTGTATATACAGTTGAAACTCTTTGTCTGGAAATCGTTTGAGTTGAAATTCTGTTTGAGTCAAAATAATTTCCATGTCCAGGTTTTTATTTCTTCTATATCTTTGTAATTATAGTTCAGTCAATACATATACAGAGCAGAAAGTCATCTGTGCGTTATCAGGCCAATCCAATTAAATGTTGGTTTCTTTATTAGTGTCATCATCCCATAGCTGTTACTTACCTGTACGTTAAACAGGCAGTGCATTCACACAAGACATGAAAACATGAAGCTTGGGTATGTACATCTTCAGAAAGAATCGAAACCGTCAAACCTGCACTAACATTTTAACAAAATCTGATCCCCAAAATTCGGAGAGAAACCAAGTTTGAGCTTGTTTACTAATGGACTGTGATCGGGCACTTTATCAGATTTACAGTTTGTAAATGCTAAAAGTATTTTTAATTGATAGAGTCTATATCTGTGTGTAATTTGTTAAGTCTAGTGCATGTACAATGCTTTCTGTAACAGGTAAAAACTTTCAAGCGCTGCCTTTTTCATTTCTTTATTTATTTATAATTAAGTCATATCATGTAGTTTAATACATCATTTCTAATAAGATATCAAAAGCAAATTTTATCTTCGTTTTATTGTCATTCCGTAAAATATATGATGTATATGTGCTCTGTCAGTAAGGGTATTGTACACCTGTGTGGGAGGGAACGACGTGACTACAAATGTATTTGATTGGTGTTGTTATTACACGTTTTATTGTTTGGATGAATAAACAATAAAAGGTAGAAATTTGTTTCTGTTTATCTACTTTGCAATTTCAAAGAACAGATTAAATTCTGCTGTTTGTACCACAGTGTATTGTGCTATCATACCCCTACTTTGTTCAACCGTAATCAATGTCAGGAAACTGATATTGTCAACCTTCATTACGGTTGAACAAAGTAGGGGTATGGTACACTTTATTGGAGTCAAAATTTGAAAGAATCAAAATATTTCCCTTGTCCCTTGAATTTTGAGATGAGTTTTGTCTGTATAATAGAGTTATCTTTTATAATTAAGTCCGCCTTCTTTTTACCAGGTTATAATTTTAAATCTCTAAATACTTGTTGTGTTACTTATTACTGTGAAACCACATCAACATCTCTATCCGTGATTAATCTCACACACTGACATAATCACACAATAATTTGCTGATACACTGGACAATTGCCAAGGATAAGTGCTTTTTTGGATACTTAATCACTTTCCCCACTTTAATTAAGTACTACACCAGAAAATAGACACCCATTTTTAAATGTTCTATGGTGTCTACACCCAGGATCCAATCTCGCATCTTGTAAACAAGCTTATGCTTCATTTTGATAACTTCTTTCTAGTATAATGAGAAACAAAGAGCAGTATTTTTGTCAAATTTTTCCTGGGTGAGTCCACCGTACCATATCTAAAATTCTGATGAGCCCAATTACATAGAATTAATGTAGGTTCCCAAAATTTCAGCGCATCCCACAGGAAACGCATGAGTTCAGGACTCAAATATTTGAGTCCAAAAAATCACTTCAGAGTATGATGGAGTGGAACAACATACACTGTTATACAGAAAAAATACAAATATTTCAATAGCATTAATGTGTCAAGAACAGTGCTATGGGCTCATGATGAAAACATACCAATGCAGGTTTTAAAAAATATTAAACCGAAACAGAAAAAAGAAAATTCTGGACAAGATTAAAATGTTAAAAAGAACAAAGGATCATAGCTTCTTGAAATATAGCTAAATCATAATGATGTTCACCAGATCACAATCTAATGTTGTGGTTGTAATTAACAACTTTCACAGAAAATGGTCATGGTTAAAAACTAAGGAAGGAGATATCTGGACTGGGTAAAAATTAAGGTAAGGGCAATAACTCTTCCAAAAAATATAAAACCATAAAGTCATTAAGGAAAACACAATAACATGTAGTGGTTATAAAGCCTTCCAAGTTTCAAAAGAATATGGTTTAAGTCTGAGTAAGGAGATCTCCATACAAAATTAAAATAGGTTAAAAAAGGGCAATGACTCCTTCAGAAAATGAAATGCTATGTATAAAACCACAACTTACATCATAATTATAAACACTACAAAATTAGCAAGAAATTGGTTGTATACTGATAGAGAAAACACAGCACAAGGTTAATATCACAAAGCAAACAAAGGGCAGTAACTCTTTGAACTACATAAGATTCAAACTGCTGTTCAGCAAACACAATTTACAAAGTAATCAGTATGGATGTGTGAATTTACCATTGTACTTATTAACTTCCCAAAAATTCATAATATACTAAAATTAAATTGTGTCAAGGTAAGAACATTTATCATCTAAAATGAGGATAAATCTGACAGAAACCAAAGTGAATATAGAGAAAAATAGGACAGATAATCCAGTCCTATTTTTCTCTATATACAGAGCTATTATTGTTATTCCTTTTGAGCATTATAATCTAAATGTGTCTTGTATTAAACATCAAATTGACAAATGATTTAGTATAGATGGATGTCTCTTCGTAATGAAATTTGTAGTATGATAATTAGTTAATTACACCTATGCCACTTTAAACCTAAGACAAATTTATCTGAATAATACCACGGCGAGTTCATACTGCTCTACATCTGTTCACACCCACTCCCCCGTATTGCTGAAGCATGGCTTCTCATTGGTAAACAAACAACATGAAAGAATTATTTTATAGGTCAATGTGTCATTTTATAGTCATTTATATGTCCAAATAAATTCAAAACACATTCACGCATCTGTAAGCACACACCTGACAATCAGTTACATCAGGGTATTTTTAGCCAGGTGTCTTCAAAATGATGGCTGAATTAGCACCCGAAAAGGCAGGTTCTCACCAATGTCAATCAACATTTATTTGATAAATTAATGAAGTAAATCGTACGTATCTAGGAAAAATTCTAGATTTTTTTTATCGGAGACCTGGCAATTCAATATCTGATCTATGTGTTTGGAAAAACTCACTACAGCCAACTGACTTGCCAATAAGATCACGACCAGGAGGTCAACTCGTCAACTCAGACTCATTATCATTACAGGCAGGCTTATCATAGATACAATAGTTGTTGGTGGTCATCTGCACCAGGCTAGATACCACAAACAGGATACTATAAACATACTTAGTTTGGCACAATCACAATTTAACAGCATGTCACCACTTTTGTCAAATCAAGTAACTTTTGTATAAAAAATGCAATTAGTGCAATCATATTTGAGTTATTGATGGGACACTAGTTCAAATCCATAATCTATTTTCAGTTAAAATCAGGCAGGCATAATTGACTAACTGAGTTTAATATTAGACATGAAAAACCTCACTTACCTAAAATTTGCATAAGAATGAATATCATTGGCAATTGACGTCATTATGCACAATATAAATTTTGTTTTTACTTAAACGTATAAAGGTACTGGTGACTAATGATGAAATATTACAATTGATCATTGCATCAGATGTGGTTTAATAATTAAATAATTGATTATACTTGATTTCATCCGATCACTAATTTTAGTGAAAATGATCACAAATATATGTACAGTTAAAGTACACTGCTTCGTAATTGATTTGATAAAAGTCACATCAATGATGATATGGAAGTATCAAAATCCTTTTCAGATTTCAAAAATGATAGACTCATGAATCACTTTGTATTTTGTATATTAACATTTCAACATCACAATATAGATGTCTGCACAGGGAAAATTTATCAATCAAGATCTACAAGTCATGTTTTATACCTTCAATCAAATACATGAACTGTTTTATAATACCTCTGTTTGTTTCTGGTGGCAATATACCACCATACAGTTTATTTATCTAATTTACATGTAAATATAAACAATTTAACACTGGCAATAATGATAACCTTTTAATGATATATGTATACATCTGTTATCTTTGCGTACCTGTGTAAATAATTCTGACACACAGTAAGGTGATTTAAATGGAATTAGCTCGTGTTTTGATTAGCCTACTTGGATAAGTTCCCTCTGTGTAAGTCGCCAACTAGTACACACGTTACTACATAGCTCACATTCTTCACACAAGTAACTTTCATTAATCATTACACTCCCTTTACTACATAATATGACTTAAATACCCGCAACACCTCACATAAGAAATCTTATCTGGTTGGCTGTTGAAAACGAAAAAAAAAAAAACATTCTGCATTTCACAGTAATATTTTATCCAAAAAATTTCAGGTAGAAGTACGCCCTTATTCATGAAATACAATTCCTGTTGACTAGATTCTATTTTATGTGTCTCTATGAAGGTTTTTAAAAAAATGTTCTCATGCAGCGGACTGGAACCAAACTCTTGTGAATTCACTAGCGACCCATTCATTGGTTTACAGGTATATTTAAATTATGGCTTCTCATAAGATATAATTTCCAAACAAATTTCAACACGATTTATATCACTACCGTCAACATTAAGTCGTTGATTGCAGCAGTCAACTTATTGATGTGTTAATGGCTATAAAATTCCTGAGATATATGTGTTCAGTTACGATCTATATATACATCGACTGGCCTAACCCTAACATAGTAAAGTCCACTGTGTATCGGAGCTGGTTACAATGGATAAGACAACACCCCATTCAACCCAACATTCTTTCAAACGCCACCCTTACCCCGTTACATGGCTGTCGACAGTCCCTGTTTTTAGATTATATCTGTACAATTTAAAATCTCAGACAACCCTGATACAGACATGATATACAATAAATATGGTCTGGCGACAATACACTCTGTAAACATTAACCGCATTAATTCGTCAGGTGTGTAAAAACTCTCTTTCTGGGCGCTGTAATTGAAAGTGTACATTCACTAAGTGGAATGTAACGACTAATAAAACGTATACATCTAACAAATTTGCTAAGTTCATATTTCTCACCTTTCTGGCGTGGGTAACTGCAACATTTGTTCCACTCATATCGGACTGACGGCTACAACTAACATGGAGGCTGAGAGGTATATTTATAGCCCACAGAAACAACTTCAGCAAACTTCATCCGTTCCCATTTTCACTCGCTGACCTATGACCTTTTCGCCATGTGACGTCACCAAGGTAGCCTAGTTCTCGTCGAACACAGCAGGTGCCCGTATGAATTGACAGCTAAATACCTATATCGGTCTTTAGACTAACAATGCTATGTATGTGGGTTGAGATTGTAATAATAGTGATTATAACCCTCTGTAAATTCTACGTTTACCGCAGAGACAGTCTGATATAGAAGTCTTCGTTTTCTCAAACCGTATAGCATAACACTGCGTAATCGTAATATGTCTACATATTTACTGCATGACTTGGTTTCAACAACGAGCTCGTAAGCTCGTCTCTATTTTCTTTCCAATGTACATGTATAGACTAACTTTTTAAAAATTCTGCATATGTGTTACATCGAGCACATATGTTTTGACGAATAACAAAATTTTACCACAAAAATGTCCTTGACGAATTCATGTTCGTGACTAAACCTAGTGTAGTGAAGTCGCGGTAGGTTACCTGCCAACAAGCTTTGCGGCCGATGATACAATTTTATCATCCAATGGCCTATAGAACTTATATATTCTAGCGATAAAAAATAATTTGAAACAGTGTCACAAGTCGGATACTTCATTGTAATATGGCTCAATCTTTTGAAAATCTTTATTGAATTAAACACATTTTCACAAGTTTAAATCAAGTTCATGTGATTCTATAAAAAAACCTTTTTACATTGATGCCAAATAAGCTTACCGTAATTTAAAAAAATATCGGAACATTTATATCAGAAGACTGCAATCATGGAATCTTAAAGCATGTTTATAATTAATTATTTATAAATAAAAAATAAACATAAAAAATACTACGAACTTAAATATTTAATCATACGTACTTTCAAGTCCTTAAGAGGATAGAGACTTTAAAAAACACATATCAGATAGAAATTACTTTGTATGGAAAATAATGAAGAATGGAACGTTCTGTATAGTGTCGATAGGTGGTTCTTATACAGGGGTGTTGTTGAAGACAGGTTGACTTTTATACGGATGGTCATTATAGACGGGTTGGATGGTCATTATAGACGGGTTGGATGGTCAGTATAGACGGGTTGGATGGTCATTATAGACGGGTTAGATGGTCAGTATAGACGGGTTTTGGTCTTAGTTTTTATTGATACGTGGTTTTACATGATGTTACAAACAGAAATTTTTACATGTGACCTTAATGAACAAGTTTAATAATGATATGTATTGCTTGCTTAGCTCAGTGAATCGAACTCTGCAACGTCATGCGAAAGTGTAAAGTAGGGTGCGAGGATTTTTACTAAAGGCTGTTTGTTACTCGGGAAGCTGAGAATTGTGATCTTAGGAAAGAATTGTCACGTTTAAGTAGCGTGCGGAGGACATTCCGCATGTTGTGCAGTAAGATAGCTGCAAACTATTGTAAGGAAACCTCGTCTGAAAAAAGTCCCCGGATGTTCACGTGACAGTATGCAGTTAACATGTATACTTGTTTTAAACGTTTAAATGTATGTACATATTATCTATAGTCTAAATTAACACGCTCACCGATAGTCTTGTACATTTATCGTATACAAACACACATACATTATTCAAGTCTTTTCGAGAGTAAACATGTTCTGTATGTAAAGTGGCGAATAACTTTCCTCTCGTACACTGAATATGATCTACAATGACCTTGACCCGAAGAAATGTAGGTACTTGGTATGCGGTATGCTAGCTATTAATATTTCAACGCAAACATTTTATCTGTTCTGTCTCCAATACGGCTGACAACACATTTAATACTGTAGAACTAATATACACTGGATATTGTTCTCCCTCGACCAAAATCTTCTGATGAAATGTAACCTTTTTCCTTCTATCAAATCAAGATAAAGCAAGCAGATTATATATTATTTATCTATAGATTTTTTTCCAGCGCTCAAAATAATTTAAATTGAGTGGTATAACTACGATCTACATTTCTACTTAATTCCAAAATATTTAAGACGTTCAGAAATTACAGTATGTCTCAGTTACAATATCACCCACTGAAAGGACGGACGATCACTTACAGTATGTCTCAGTTACAATATCACACACTGAAAGGACGGACGATCACTTACAGTATGTCTCAGTTACAATATCACACACTGAAAGGACGGACGATCAATTACAGTATGTCTCAGTTACTTACAGTATATCACACACTGAAAGGACGGACGATCACTTACAGTATGTCTATCACACACTGAAAGGACGGGCGATTACAATATCACACACTGAAAGGACGGACGATCACTTACAGTATGTCTCAGTTACAATATCACACACTGAAAGGACGGACGATCAATTACAGTATGTCTCGGTTTCAATATCACACACTGAAAGGACGGACGATCAATTACAGTATGTCTCGGTTACAATATCACACACTGAAAGGACGGACGATCAATTACAGTCCGTGTTTCTGTCCGATATTCTTATCTCTTTATTGATACTTGTATACCGTTAATTACACGACTGGACCTTTAAACTGCCTTGTACAAAAGATAAAAATACAATAACCGGTTGTGGGTTTACTGTATGATATCAACCTCTACTAGTACACAAGGTTCAGGTCATCCAGGTTCAGTCTTGGAATTGACACCGTTGGAGAGACCGATTTCATACTTGTCGTAAATATATTACGTAAAACACGGGATCAATTTCAACCGATATACGTTGCCAGGTATTGTCAGTCATCTGCTTAGTGAAGTTTCAAGTTTCAATAACGATGTCCGTTGGTATTGTATTTCATCGATCCAAGTAAGTTGTTTTATGTATTCATGAATGCACTCTGTACCTGCTATGTACTTGTGAAATTTAATTTGGAATTTAAATAGAGTCTGAAATAAGATAATCAAGGAACAAAAACCCTGAATGCACTCTGTACCTATACATTTTCCAAGTGTCTAAAGTTGTCTGATTGTTTTCACTTAAAATGTCAACATGGTTTTGTTTTCTGTATCAAGGAGACAACATACTTATTATAATTGTATCCTAATGCGTTTAATCCGCCGGAGATTTATATACGGGTGTGGTTGTGAACGCTAGGAAATAGTATATGATATGCATGTATATCGTGTTCTATTCTTAGCTTTATTTGTACGTAAGTGTTGGCTGTCTTGTGTCTTTTTACGGCGCTGACTTCCTGGTAGGACTTATACATACATACATACATACATACATACGATTGGCCTCCCAAATATATTATAAAATGTAGGTACCTTTAGTCTACCTTAGCAACACATACTTGTACCAGTCACTTGGAATGGGGACGTAATGATTCTAAAATCATTTCATTTAAATCTGTTGATATTTTAATATTTAAAAGGAAATCGATTTGGTTCGTCCTGTAGGTACTGTCCAGATCGTCCCGTAGGTACTGTCCACATCGTCCTGTAGGCACTGTCCACATCGTCCTGTTGGCACTGTCCACATCGTCCTGTAGGCACTGTCCAGATCGTCCTGTAGGCACTGTCCACATCGTCCTGTAGGCACTGTCCAGGGCGTCCTGTATGTACTGTCCACATCGTCCTGTAGGTACTGTCCAGATCGTCCTGTAGGTACTGTCCAGATCGTCCTGTGGGTACTGTCCAGATCATCCTGTAGGTACTGTCCAGATCGTCTTGTAGGTCCCAGGTCCCATTGACCTCGATATAGCGTGTTATCAATCATCAAACTATTATTTGTAACAAACTAATATTTCTAAGACGAAAACAGGCAAAAAATTCTCAAATGAATTTAGCCATCAAACAGGCAAATTCTTTCATGCACAGTGTAGTGTTATTTGTTGACATCGTCACAAATTTGAACCCCACATTCTAGTATGACTCGTCCTCTGAAAGGCCGAAAGTCCTTGACATTTGCTGTAAAACCTGTTACGTAAATAAATAATTCCACGGGTCCATAGATTTTGATTTGATCAGTGCAGACTGTCCAGTGTCCAATGTCCAACTCAAACGTCAGCAAGCGAGTTTCTCCCTGAAGAGAGGACAGAATATTTACAGTCTAACCACGCTGACCTTCATCATGTTTATGTGGATTGGGTAAGTGTTGACAAAACATGTTTTGTCTCAATAATAAAATTTACACGAAGCCATATTTATATGAATGGTATTGTTGAAGCACACTACGAATTCACACTCCAATTATGATATTATTAACGGGTGGGATTGGAACGCCAACCCCCAATAACAATCGGTTATTTTTGGTATAATAGCACGTGATGACAGCATGGCTATATAGGGGATTGGTTAATGACAGATACATTTCATAAGGTCTCAAAAGGTGTATTTTTCAAAACCCCATTTTAAAGTTACGATATTCGATCTCAAGTGTATACGTGACAATATGGAGTATCGATGTCTTATCTTTTTAAATGGAAAAATACCCATAAAAACAACATACTGCCTGAAAAATACTCTAAATTAAAATTTAAGAAAGATTTGCTCTACTTGTATTTTCGTCCCCGTTACCAGTGCAAAGTCCAGAATCTGCCAGAAGATGCATTTAAATAGCCGTGCCGTAGCTGCAGACATGAACACGACAGCTTATGTGTCCAGTGTAAATTCCTCGTTCAACAAGGTCTTAAAGTTGATATAAAACAAATAAAAACTAAAAATAAACTGAAGGCATGAAAGTCCATAGTTGAACTACAATACGGGAAACTCGTGTACCAAACATCAATGTGATTAGATTTTGGTATTTTCTCTTATTTGTATGTGAAATCCCCTGTTTGACAGTTTTTAGCTTAATTTCCAGTTTTTGTTTTTACAGCTTCTTAAAATCTTAAAAGGGAAATTTGAAAGCATCGTTTTAACTTGTCCTATGTTCCCGATTGAACTTATAACGAAATATCCTTTAAACGGCAACAAACAAACAAAAACAAAACAATAAAATAAGTTAGATTCAAGGATTTATTCAAGTTATCACTACTATAATTTGATATCAGAGACTAAATCTATTGCTTAAAATTGACATTATCT